AAAGTGCCCAAGGACAAATGCCGGAGAATTCACCACACAATACCGAGAACAAACACCAGAGAATTCATCATAGTGCTGAAAGTGTCAAAAGACAAATGCCGGAGAATTCACCACACAACGCCGAAGGTGTTAAGAACAAACATCAGAGAATTTATCACAGTGCCCAAAAACAAATGCTGGAGAATTCACCACACAACACCGAAGATATTCAAGAACACCAGAGAATTCATCACAGTGCCAAGAACAAATGCCGGTGAATTTACCAAACAACACTGAAGGTATTCAAGAACACCAGAGAATTCATCACAGTGCCAAGGACAAATGCCAGAAAATTCACCATACAACTCTGAAGTATTCAAGAACACCAGAGAATTCATCACAGTGCCCGAGGACAAACTCCAGAGAATTTACCACACAATGCCAAAGGTATTCAAGAATACCAGAGAATTTATCACAGTGCCCAAGGACAAACGCCAGAGAATTCACCACACAATGCTGAAGGTATTTAAGAACACCAGAGAATTCATCACAGTGCCCAAGGACAAACGCTGGAGAAAATTCACCACACAATGCCAAAGGTGTTCAAGAACACCAGAACAAATGTCAGAGAATTCACTATATGATGCCGAAGGTGTTCAAGAACAAACACCAGAGAATTCATCACAGTGCCAAAAGTGCCCAAGAACAAACATCAGAGAATTCACCACAACGCTGAAGGTATTCAAGAACAAATACCAGAGAATTCATCATAGTGCTGAAAGTGTCCAAGGATAAACGCTGGAGAATTTATCACACAATACTGAAGGTATTCAAGAACAAACACCAAAGAATTCATTAAAATACCAAAAGTGCCCAAAAACAAACACCAGAGAATTCATCACATAACACTGAAGGTGTTCAAGAACAAACATCAGAGAATTCATCATAGTGCTGAAAGTGCCCAAGGACAAATGCCGGAGAATTTACCACACAATGCCGAAAGTTTTAAGAACAAACACCAGAGAATTCATTATGCCAAAGATGCCCAAGAACAAATACCAAGCATAACACCAAAAGTATCCAAGAACAAACACCAGAAAATTCACTACACAACACCAAAATTTCCAAAGAGAATTCACCACATAATGCTGAAAGTGTTCAAGGACAAACACTCCACATAATGCTGAAAATGCCCAAGAACAAGCACCAAAGAATTTATTACACAATGCCGGAGACAAGCACCAAAGAAAAAGAACTCACTACACAACATTGAAAGTGTTCAAGAAAAATTCACCACACACTGCTGAAAGTGCCCGAAAACATGTACCAGAGAATTTACCACTAGAGAATTCACTACACAATGCTAAATGTGCCCAAGGACAAGCACCAGAGAGTTCACACACAATGCCAAATATGCCCAAGAACAAAATCAGAAGGTTTACAATGCCAAAGACAAACACCAAAGATTCATATGCTGAAAAAATGCTCGAGGACAAACACCAGAAGATTTACAATGCCAAATTAAGAATTCACCTTACATTGCCAGGAGAGCACAGAGACACACTATATAATATCAAAAGTTTCTAGAATAAACACACTGAAAAAGCTCAAAGAAACACTAAAAAAAGCACTGAAAATACCTAAGAATTCCAGAGAACATATTAAAAAAAAAGGTTATCTCCGTAGAAATGCCAAAGAAACATCCTAAAAGAAAAAAATAAAAAAACAAGAAAGAGCTAGAGAAAGTCATTGCGAAAAAAAAAAATCAAAAACAATGATTATCAAAGATAATTATTGTGCCAAAAAAGAACTTATCTATCCGGGTAGGATAAGATCGTTCAATCTTACATTGGCAGTCTGATCAACCACATGAACCTTAGTTATGTGATTTCCACATTCTTTGATTGACCAAAGAGGCCAGAGATATATAAGTTATATATCTCTGGCCAGAGATGCTTAAAAAAACCCTTATGAAATATATATTTCGAACTAACATAAGCTAATTTGAAATATTTTGAATCATTTCGAAATAATTCGAAACTGTCTGAAATAATTTATGTTGAATTTCGAAATATATTTCATAATATTTTGAAATTTATTTTGTAATATTTCAAAATTTATTTCATAATATTTTGATAAAGTTTACGTAAAATTACATAAAACAAAGCGTAAAAATTTAAAATAGCTCGAATTATTTCAAATTAATTCGAATTAAACTAATTATTCTTAGTTTAATTACAACAAATATTTATAAACTAATTATTGCAATATATTTAAAATATATAAAATTAAGTTAGATTAAATAAATTTTAATTAATTCGAATTTATTTAAATTTATTCAGATTTGTTTGATGATTTTATTATTTATTTTATTTAAATTTTAAAAATTATATATAAAAAAGCTAAATTATAAATAATCCTATATAAAAAATAAAAAACAAAAAGCATAGCATTATTCAATTAAAAAAACAAAATAAAAAAAAACTTTTACTCATCATTATTCATATCTTTTTCATTATCATCTGAACTATTTTTATCATCTTTATCATCCAAGATTAAAAAATTATCATTATCAGAATTATTTTCACTTGCTTCTGGTTCTTCATCTTGGTCTTCTCTATCTTTATCTGATTTAACTTGAACAACTTTTAGATTAAAAATAATTA